GTTATACGTATTCACTAGAGTGGAATGAAAAAGAAAATTTTTAAAATTTACTTTCTAACAGCAACCAAAACGTGTCCCACCCACTCAAAAATTAAATTTTAATATATTTTTATGCTATAAGATTATGCTATATTTTTATGCTTTTTATTGCTATAAGAATTTGAATATTAAGAAATGACTCGAGGAATTCCGATGAAGGATTTTTCCTGATTTTTCATTCTTGAATCATTTTTAACTCCACTAAACCAAGGAAACAATCGCCAATTAGCGAGCCAAACAGTTTCCACAACCCTATATAGTATGTAAGCATATATAGTTGGTTTGAAATTAACGCGCTGGAGCGCTCTGGTCATGACGTGTTGTAGCCAAGGAAAATAAAAAAAGCCACAATTTAAGATCCTTACACTTGAAGCAAAGCTATAATTTTAAGCTATATATGCCATCTATCTATAAGGAATTATCTGGGTTTTAAAACGGGCAAATAACTGAAATGTTTTAAAAGTTATTAAACCTTTTTTTTTAAATTGCCAATTTGGCGATATTTTTCCACCTAGATGAAAATCACCTAAATCTATGCCTTTTGCAAATTTTTATAAGCCCAGGTAATTCAGCAATACAGTAATTTTTTTTACATTAAAAAATTAGACTACAAACGCTTTTCATTTTCTCAAAACTGTGACTTTTCACCATATTGACGCTTTGCGCCATTTTCATAATAAATTTGGAGTGCGCTGAATAAAGATAGGCTTAACTTGGCGTGATAGTCATAAGTAAGGCCCGGATTTTGATGACATTTGCATTTTTGGACATTCTTTGTCCTTTAGAGCATTTTTTGAGATTTATAGGGCATTTTCTTTAAAATTTTGGAGCGTATTTTGCATTTTAAAGCATTTTTTAAATTTTTCTAATTTTTATTATTTTTTATAATTTCTTATTATTACACTGGCTTCCAAACAATGAAGAAAATTTCTAGGATATTAACAGATGCAGCAACATCTTTTCGAATTAAAGAAGAATTGTCAGTAAGTGTGACCGTCCTTTTCAAGTACGCACCAATAACATCAGTAGACGTTGAAAGAAGCTTCTCCTGGTATAAAAATTTGCTTTCAGACAAGAGACGCTCGTTTACATTTCAAAATATTAAAAAAAATTTAATAATCCACTGTAATTCTGATATTTAGTAATATTATGAGATGGAAGTTGTTATATTCATTTAAGTTTCTATACAAAATGAAAATGTTTTGGAGTCAATATATTTTCCTCTTTTTTTTTTGTTATTTTTGGATATAAAACATATTTGTCAAACTTTAATGAACGCGTAGAACAAGTATTGCATTGCTTTATATTTTTTGAAACGACTCATAATAATTTTAAAGAGTAAAACATTGTTTTAGTTCAATATTTTTACTTCTACTTAAGTCATGTCATAAGGCATTTTTAAGGGCATTTTTTGCACTTTTTAAGGGCATTAATTGAGATTTTTTAGGCCATCAAAATCCGGGCTCTAGTCATAAGTAACTGATAAAAAATCACATAAGTTAGGAAAATAGCATATTATTCGCAAAAAGCATCATTTCATGCGACTACAGAGACTTTGAAAAACAGCCTTAAAAGAAATGGTTGGAATAGGATTGGTCAGTGTAATAAAAAATACAGGAAAGAAGGTGATATTATGAGATTCTTAAAAAAAAAATTTAAAACCAGCCTTTACAATGTATCATAAGTGATTTGCACACTAAACTGCCGTTAAAGCATTCATTTTTGATAACTCATTGACTGGATCGATATTAATATTTAGGTACCATCGGTAAATACTTGAAATATGTGACGAAATTTCTATTGTTCAATAGCTAAAGATAAAAAGACGCGATACTATCAAAGTCTATTTATGGCCTGTAAAAAAGGAAAAACTAGTAGAAAAAAACATTTTATATCCAGTTTATTTTTGGTAAAATAAAAAACCCTGGCTACGAAGACTCATTAAAAGTTATAAAGTATAAGACTGTTCCTGTGGGCCAGAAGACCATGATCTTTGGCCAAAAGTCAAAATTACATTTTCAACTTAAATATGTGTAGGCAGTTTTAATATCGCCCGAATTCGCCATAATATCGCCATAATCATTCCAAACATTATAATTTACTTTTTGGACCGACGAAAGTACACTGTAGCGAAAAATATGCTAAAAAAAATTTTTAATGTAACTTTTAAATTTATATTTCAGAAATATATATAGGAATTTCACCTTACTGTTACATTTTTATCAGAGGAATTAGTCTGAAATTTAATTGTTAATGAGTCTTGGTAATCATGTACATTTATTTCTTGCAAAAACACGCTAAATATAAATTGATTTTAAGACTAGTTTTATCTTTTTCGGTGGACAAACGCGCATAGACTTGAGTTTCGATGAACGCTAAACATTTAATAAATGGTGATTTTAATGAAAATTCCTTTTAGATGTGGAGCTTTGCATTATTTCCTCAAATTCAAAACCGATAAATATATTTCATCTGATCAATCGTCTTTAACAAATAATTAGTTCACCATCCATCTCCTGTACCGCAACACGCCACCCTGTTATAATTCAAATAAAAAATTTCCCTCCGTTATTTTTCTTTCTCTTCTGCAATTCAGGTTACCTGAATACCGCAACTAGAAAAAACTTATTTAAAAGTCACTGAAAAAGCAAATTTTTAAAAAAGTTGATTCAATCGCTTACAATTTTTTATTTGAATTGATTGGAACGTGTTGAAACATATTATTGTGTAAATATGAATTGTGAAACTTGAGCATATAGCAGTCGAAACTAATGAAACTTGAGAATTTCGAAAAACAGTTGAAATTAACAATGAGTTGTAGTTTAAGATAAATTCTGCTTCTAACCCTTAAATAAAATATTTAAATTTGTATTATCATCCAGCAAAGAGCTCTAATTAAAGATTGTGTACTCCAGATATTCAGAAACTGGTTGTAATTTTAAATGGCGGTAAATTTTCATCTGCGATAGCATCGCGATAATTCTACTTCCCTTTAAACTTCTATTGCCATTCACCACAAAGCTTCAAAAAGAACTTGAGAGTTTTATTAGGAGAGGCTATAATACTCTGAAAAAATTTTGCTGTAACAATTTTGTGTTACAAATTATTGGTTTTTATGGAGATTTGTGTGCTCTAGCTAGTTAAAAAAAGGGCCAAAATCTCGATTGAAAGATTCCATCATTACAAACTCGAAAATGAGTCAGTAAAAATTCTAATGCATGTCTAATTAAAAAATACCCCTTACTCAGAAAAAATTAAAACCCTGTCCACTATCAGTTACAACAACTAATATAAGACAACATTTCATTTTTTTTTTTCATTTTATGGTTTTATTGTTTTAAGTGCGAACATTTGGATTTTTTATTTTACTTTATTTAGAAAATGTTTTACAAGTAAGTAAGATAATCAAACACATTTACGAACATTTAAATTTTTTATTCTTTATTTTACTTTGCATTTAGAAAATGTTTCACGAGTACATAAGATAATCGAAAACATTTGCAAACATTTAAATTATTTATTCTTTATTTTACTTTGCATTTAGAAAATGTTTCACGAGTACATAAGATAATCGAAAACATTTGCAAACATTTAAATTTTTATTCCTTATTTTACTTAGCATTTAGAAAATGTTTCACGAGTACATAAGATAATCGAAAACATTTGCAAACATTTAAATTTTTCATTCTTTATTATACTTTGTATTTAGACAAATGATTCGTAAGTACATAAGATAATTAAAAACATTTGCAAACATTTAAATTTTTTATTCTTTATTTTACTTTGCATTTAGAAAATGTTTCACGGGTACATAAGATAATCGAAAAAATTTGCGAACATTTACATTTTTTATTCTATTTTACTTTGCATTTAGAAAATGTTTCGCGAGTACATAAGATAATCGAAAACATTTACAACCATTTATATTTTTTATTCTTTATTTTACTTTGCATTTAGAAAATGCTTCACGAGTACATAAGATAATCGAAAAAATTTGCGAACATTTAAATTTTTTATTCTATTTTACTTTGCATTTAGAAAATGTTTCACGAGTACATAAGATAATCGAAAACATTTACAACCATTTAAATGTTTTATTCTTTATTTTACTTTGAATTTAGAAAATGTTTCACGAGTACATAAGATAATCGAAAACATTTACAACCATTTAAATTTTTTATTCTTTATTTTACTTTGCATTTAGAAAATGTTTCGCGAGTACATAAGATAATCGAAAACATTTGCAAATATTTAGATTTTTCATTCTTTATTTTACTTTGTATTTAGAAAGTGATTCAGAAATGTACATAAGATAATTAAAAAAAATTTGCAAAAATTTCGGTAGAATCACACTTTTTTAGTGTAATGCTTAAAAGAAACTGCTAAGCTATGCATCAAAATAACATGAATAACCACAAAAAGAAAGTTATTATCTATGACCACCGTTACACCACTCTTATAATGATCATGTTAAACCAATCATTATTCAATCGTATATTTCTTTCCATAATTCATTAAAAAATTTGAAGACGATTTGTTGGTTATTGAAGCGCGTTTTTAGTTTCCGAAAGATAATGATTCAAATATTCAAGTAAATGCCAGAAACAAAAACACCATGCATATTTCTACAACCAGATTATATTTTCACATAGATTTGCAAAACAGCAGAACAATAGATAAATTCTTTTACTACATTGTTCTCATTAATAGTACTATTAAAAAAAATTTCACGTTATCAGCACACATCTTTCACAGAAACACATCTTTCACAGATTTCTTATCTTTTATTATAATATTCTCTTTATAATTCGTTTATATATATTTCCTTAATATTCTTTAATTTCCTTTCTATATCCCTAATATATTTTACATTATAACATTCCTTTTTAATGGAGAGAAATATATTAAGTTTATAATATTCATTACACAAAAAAATGAAAAAATTAAAAAGTCATAACACAGTATATTCGGTTTACTTTATTGAGCAGCAAATAAAACAATTATCATCTTGGCACAATTAAATTTTAAACATTTATTAAAGCTCCAAACACATGTTTAAAAAACAGTAACAGAGGGGCCTTGGATTAAAAACCAGGTAAGTCAAATATTTCCAAAGAAAAAAAAATGCTTTTTTGACAGTTTTCAGTATAGCTACTTTGATTAGAGGATTATCTAGTTATCTTTATTAAAGTAAATAAAGTGGAAAGAACTGCAAAAAATAAATGTCCCTTTTTTTATTTCAAATGACAAGCAACAACAATTTGAACTTACCAAGTTCTTACACCCCTCAACTTAACATACAAAATATCAATACCCATAAGGAAAAAATATGGAATTTTCAGCATTCATCAATCTACGTGGAATGGTATTTATTTATTTTATGATCATTAAATATAGTGACTTATCCTTGCATGAAAAAATATATTAAGCTCACATTTAATTTATAAAGAGCGTACAAAATTAAACTTTGGTTTTTGTAAATGCATAATTAGGGGGAAAAAAACAACTCCAGCAGAAAATTTATGTGACAGAGTATAAATTTTTTTCCCAGAGTTTCTTTTTTCAGTTTAACATTGTTTCGTCAGATGGCGCGGCAAAAAGAAAACCTGTAAAACGAATAAAAGCAATTGAAAATCACATCACACTTTTTCGAAATCTTTCAATAAATAAAAACATTACTATATTTTCAAAATGTCCACATTCTCGTGTTGTATTCATAGGAAGAAATTTGCTTACATCAAAACGCAATGAAACAAACGGTAGAACAACTCGCTGTACCAGGAAAAATCTTTGAGTTGAAAACAGAAACTCTGGGGGGAAGAATTAAAATGAATTGTTGTTTCGATTTTTTTTTTTTAATTTTTACCGTTTTATTTTATAATTTTTTAAAACTGTCAATCTAATTTAGTAATCCTGTATTTAGGTAATCCTGTATGAGTAATCCTGTATTTAATCTAACATCCTGTATTTAGATACAGCATAACAAAAGCAATTTGTTTATACTTTTCACGCCTAACAAACATGTAAAATCTAGGAAACATACTCTAACAAAGTATGCGAGTAACATCAATATTTAACAATGATGCAGACTAGGGTGCACATGCTGATACAAAATCAAAATGATACAAAAACTGCATTCATCGTGACACTCATCTTTTCAGAAGAGGGCCGAGCAATGAATTCTGTTTTTGTGTCACTTAATGGTAACTAAATTATTTCTCAGTGTAATAAGAACAATATGAATATACGTCTTCAAAATTATACGACACAAGTATATTGGTATAATATTCTGGAAATAAAAATATTTGATGTCTTGAAGCTTTACGAAATAAAATTACAGTAATTTTATTATTTTTTACCGCATATCAATTACTTAAAATTTAAATATCTCTAAGATTTTATTAAATAATTGTCTTACACACGCTTTTAAAAAGCAGTAAAAAGACTTAAGTCTTTTTAAACGAATTGGTACCACTACACAATGAAATTTTAAGTTTATTACTTCAGTGTTTTATTTTGCTTATTTTTCAAAGTATATTTAAACTAACTTAATCAAAGAAAAAGCTTCTTCGTGGTATTTAATTACCTAATAATGTAGTTTTTTTCAATTAATTTTTGCTTGGAAGGGCTGCACATTGACAAAGCAAGTACCACAGGTTGTAACGTACCGTTACTGCAGACATATTTTTATAAACATTAATAATAATTTGAGTCCTCCTTATTTCTAGCGTTTTAAAATTTATCAGAATCAATATTAGAAAAACAACCAAAAAAGTATTTAAAATAGTAAATCGCTCGGCCTAATGCAAAAAAAAATAATTCCATTTGATTTCATTTAGAAAGAATATGATCATTTAGAAAGAAAGTTTGAAATATGCCAATTTTTTAGAGAAAAAACTTTGAAATCCTGAAATTAATAACGTTGTTGCCATGCAGTTCATTTACTTTTTGATATACTCAGTTAATTATCCAAATATTCCCTAGAATAAATCAAGAATAAAAAATAAATTAAAGCAAAGCAATTTTGCTTAAAAGACAATAAAAAAATTGTTAAAAAAGTTTTTGATGAATATATTATATTTAATTAAATAAAAATTTTACATTATTCCAAAGATAGCAGTTTTTTTTTTCGTTCTAATATTTAAAAAAAGTTATAAATTTCACTGAACGAAACGACCATATTTTAGTTTTGTTACTTAAGTATTCCTTTACATCAAAAGAAATGCTACAAAAAAGTTTTTAAAAAACAACAACATATTTTTACAGACTAATTTCTGATTTCATTGTTAAATTTAAAATAACAATCAAAAAGTATGCAAACAGAGCAACAATAGATTATTTAATTATTTTAAGCCTTTCTAGATCAATTTAATTCTTATTTCACTTACACCTAAAGCATTGCCACATTAAAATGTTGCAAATATTTTATATGAAAAATCTATGACTTTTTCAGTTTAATTACTCATAAATATTCATATTCATAAGGTAAAAAACGTGCACAAATTGTTAAATTTAATGCAATTAATGCATGTCATTAGTAAATTCTTCCAAATACAAATGGAAGTACAATAATAAGAAATAAAATACCCTCGAAATTTAGGAATTTCGATGAAAAAAAGCATTTTTGTTATAAAATCAATGTAAGAAAAAAAAAACTTGACATTTAGCATTTGAAATATAGACTTTGTGTAACTAAGTAAGTAACACACTTAATAAGTCCCTGAATGCAGCTTTGATTTAATTCTTTTACACTTAAAGCAATGCAACATTTAAAGCTAGAAGAAATGTCATCATTCGAAATTAAATGTTTATTTGTTTGTTTTTTTCCAAACAAGGCACATTTATAAGCAATGACCCCATAAATTTGACACTGAGAAAATCAATCATGATTCCGTAATCCGTCTTCATTTGACTTTGACGAATTCAGCGGCTTTCTCAATAAAGTTCGCTAGTCGGACATCCCTATCCGATAATCCACTTACGTCATGGCTACTTAATGTTATCTGGACTTTATTGTACACGTTAAACCACTCAGGATGGTGGTCCATCTTCTCTGCTTGCATCGCAATGCGAGTCATAAATCCAAACGCCTGAACAGAAAGAAAACAAATCGAATTAACCAATCTTGAATGTCAATAAATACTTTCAAAAGATAAGCTACGTCTGTAACATTTATACATATAGTTGAAAATAAAAAAAGGTACCAAAAAACTGTAATATTGTTGTAAGACAACAGATAACTAAATTTAATGTATCTCAACTGGAGACGTTACCTAATTTGGAAATATTTCAGATATATTTTTAAAGCAGCCTACGAGCATACACAATTTTTGTTTTCACTTTCAGAAAAATCACTTTAATCTTTAAATGGAATCTTTCGTTTTATTTATTTTTAAAGTTTTTTCTTTGCTTTCACAGTCTACTGCATGCGTAAAGTCATCACGACGGGCAATAAACATAAAAAAGAACATAATTTTGCTTTATTAATTTTGGTGATGATGTATTTTACTTTTTTTCTTCTTTTTTTTGCATAATTTCATATCGTTTATTAGTTGTGGAGTCGGTACATGAAATGGGTTGAATTAAACTCAGACTCCGGAGTTTCCTGAGAGCTCGACTCCAACTTTGACTTCGATTTATACTCCATTTAAAATTTACATCGAGTCTCAGGAAAGTATTAATTCCTACGATATCAACTTTTTTGTCACGTTACTCAATATTTTAATTTAATAGATAGTTAACTCTCCAGTTATATGCAATACAATACGTCTAACCTTAAATCGAGATTTACGATCAGTACTAAATTTACAAACATGGGGGGGGAATGAGGAAACAAGTTACGTGCAATTTTTTTTAAAGATCTAACGAATCCTAAGACGAAAAAGTATGAAATAAAAAAATTTTAAAAAACAACAACTTTTTTATAAGTAAGAAATAAGATATTGCGCGTAACCTATAAGAATCTATTTGATATAGTCTCAGTTTATTTTCCCTGTATTACATTTATTTTATCTATATAAAGTTTATTTTAAAATGTGTTACAAATATCCCTAATATTATGATGTGTTACAGCCGTGATGAAATGCGTTACAAATATTTCTAATATAAAATTGTTAAAGAAAGCAGATAAAAAGTCGATATTATTGCTATTGGTCGTTTGTCTGATAACGTTATTGATATTAAAAACCCGTCGACTTTTCATCTGCTTTCTTAAAAAATTTACACCGAAGAGCCATTACATTATGACCACCCTGCTAATAACATGTAGGACCAACTTTAGCCCTGAAAACTGCTAGCACCTGCTGTGGCATTGATTCCACAAGGTGCTGATAGGTAGTCTGAGGTATCTGGTACCAAGCGCTCACCAACTGGTTCTGCAATTCCCTCACATTGCGAAGGGGTAGCGTGGCAGCACGAATTTGGTTTTCCAAGTAGGACCACAAATGCTCTATTAGATTAAAGTCAGAAGAATTTGGGGGCCAAGACATGACTTGAAAGTCACTGACATGTTCCTCGACGATTCGACCCTTATGACATGGTGCATTATCCTGTTGGTAAACACCATCCCCCGCAGGAAAACTATTGCTATGAATGGGTGAACCTGGTCAAGTAGCTTACAGACGTCAGGGATTGTTCTATGAGGATTATGGGTCCTAATGTGCCCCATGAAAACATTGTTCCTGGGCGAGAAACCATGAAAACCTGGGCGAGCCCATTGTTATAGATGGAGGGTGGTCATAATGTAATGGCTCTTCAGTGTAAAAAAAATTCTTGTAACACATTAAATAAATTTTATATAAAACAAGCTGAATATATACAGTTTGTCTTTGAAGTATACAATCAATAAATCAGTACTGAAAAACAGAACAACACTTACGAAATCATACACTAATTGAAAGACCTAGCCAATCATTGAAGCTAATATTATCTCAATATTTATTTCTTAATTTTTACTTATTATTATTTGATGTCCTTCAGCGTATTTAGTTTTACTTATTTTTATTTGAGGTCCTTTCCCGTATTTATTTTATATTTATCACTTGATGTTCCACACCGAGGCTTTTCGCCATTTGATTAAGCAAAAAATGTTTCAAGTCCCATCAAAATGAAGATTAAGCTTAGTTTTATTTGTATGATGCTGTTGCTCGTGGCCAACTTAAGAGGACAGTTTTTTCCGGTACTTATCCGTTCCGAGGGCCATAAGAAACCTCTTACCACAATGTTTATGACGGCATTGTTAAAGACTGCAGAATAAGAAAAAAATATTGATGCAGTTTTAAAAGGTATTAAATATATACTTATACAGTAATCTTTGTACCCACATATTCTTTACAAATTAAAGCAGAACCAATTACCAAAATTAATTAAGCATCATTTCATTTTATTTTATTTCATAACCAGTGTTGAGCAGCCCACCTAATTATGAGTTTATGACTATCCATGTTCAATTTCGTAGCTTTGAAATTTTGAACTCAACTCAGAAGACAAGGGAAATCTTTGATCAAGCGACAGCGCACTTTTTGATGTAACAAAGCCGCCCTCGCGCTGTGAGGAGAGAAAAATCACGAAAACCATCAAACGAGTGGGGGATTCTAACCTATGAACCGACAGCTCTGAGCTTATTTTTACGTCATCACTGTGATCGGGCAAGAAGGGAGCAAAACTCGTTCCAACCAGTCACTTCATTGGGAGGCGAACGTTTTATCCCCTGAGCCAACGTAAACGTCAATAACAGTATGACGATTTTCTACAGTCCCCTAAAAGAAAAAGCACTTTTTCTCTATTAATTTTGATTTTTAGTACATGGTGCACTTTTTTTTATTTTAATAAATACATTTATCAGAGTCATGGGGGCTTAGGGGACAGAGCACTCGCCTCCCAATGAGGTGACCCGCGCTCGAAAATCAGCGAAAACTGATTGATCCGGAAGATGGATCATAGGTTAGAGGGTCCATGCCGTTAGGCTAATCGAGTGAGGTTTTCGTGTTTTTTCTTTCCATGTAACATCAATACCAGTTAGTTCTATCAAAAAGTTCTCCTTAAAGGGAAAATTTTTCTCATTACTTGATCAAAGAGTTTCCTTGTCTTCTGGATTGGATTCAAAATTATAAGGCTACAGAGTTGAACATTCGAAGTCATAAACCCAAAGTTGGGTCGGCTGTTCAACAACGGTTACAGATATAAAATAAAAATACATTTATTCAAATTAATTAAGCCTCATTAGCGTCAATTATATTATGAAGTTTTTTTCAGATAATATTCTCTTTAACAAATTATTAACATTTTTAAATTAACTTTACTTTTTCGTACATAATCTTTCTTTTTTCTTTAATTTTAAAATAAACACGTGGTTTCGGATAACTTAAGTAACGCCAACGACTGTTATTTAGTTCACAACAATCATATTTAATTTATTTAACAAACCGAAATAAATCATTAATTAATGAGTCACTTGCAATAAACTCCTTTCTATAAATAATGAGAGCTATGAAGTAGTAAACAACAATGATTTAATGTGAAAAAATATGTAAAAATGGTATCATCTACAGTTTATATTAAAACGCGGTCTAGTTCTGAATCAATCAAAAAAGGAAAAATTTCTATGAACAATTTATAAAATGTATGCATGGTCCAAACATAAAACAAAAATTAAAAAGCTGAATTTTTTAAATTTCAGAAATTTAAGCAATATAAAATTCTGCTTATTTGTGCACTAAACACAATAATTAAAAAGCATTATTAACCTCGTTGAAGTTTTTAAACACAAATTCTTTGTGAATGGCATCTCTTTTGTCTACCATAGACCATCCAGCGTTTAGTAAAGGTGACAACTTGTTTGTCCTGTCTTCTTCAGATAGCTTCATTTTCTGAGCCGATGACTGAAAAGAAAGAAAACATAAAATACATTCATTCAAAATGTTAAAACCTTATATAATATTTATGGTAAATATATTTCTAAACAATGATTATCACCGAACACACAACCACAAATTATAGGTTTATAAACTTACGAGTTGATTTACAAACAGGATATATTTAGTAATTCACTTCATAATATTAGTAATTCATTTCGAATATTTAGTAATTCACTTCTTTTCTCTTCTCACATATTTTTTCTTCTTCCTTTATTCACTCACTATATCAAGAATGATCTACAAAAATAGAACGTTTGCCTTGCGATTCATAAAAAAAATATGCTCTGACGATAGCTTAAGTCTATATCATCTTGCCTCAGGAGAAACTTAAACCTACTGAGGTGTAAAAGAATGAAACTCTTTTAAATATCTCCATGATGCAAGAAAGTTTTAAAAATGAGTGTGTGATTACAAGTAACTAAAACAATATTCTTTTTATTCTTCAGCACTACAGCCTTTCACTCGCCAAGGCTGTTTCCATGAGCTTCCTCCATTTTGAAGCTATTAGGAGCAATGGATTGCCATCGTTTGACTCCCAGATGCCTAAGATCTCTCTCAACAGAATCAACCCACGTGTGGACCTTCCTCTTTTTCGTGTGCCTTCTATTTTTGAAAAAATGACTAATTAATTTCTTGCCTCTGACTAAACTATGTTTAAATATCTCCAAGATACAAAAGAAGGATGTGATTAAAAGTAACTTAATCAATATTACTTTACTCTATTTAGATAGTAAGTTTCATTTTAAACTTACTTACTAAACTTACTAAAATATACAAAATCTATAGCACATTTAATTTACCTTATTTTTTTTCTTTATTTTTTAGAAGTTTTTCAACAATAGGATAGTTTTTTTTTGGGGGGGGGGTCTTCAAAATCAGAAAAGTATGTGCTTATCTTAGCTTGGACTAGTCTCTGTATTGAACCTTAGGCAAATCCAATGTATGTGTAAAAGCTCCAAGTAGCACACACATATTTTCTGGCGAAAATCGATCTTATCTTTTTAGCATCTAAACCTATTAGACAGCGAACTTTCCAAATCTCAAACTTAAAAATCTGATAACTATAATATTATTGTCAAGAAAATTCTTGCTATAAATAAAATATTTGTAAGATTAAAAGAACAACATTAAACTACCATAAATTACGATTACCCCTGAATTTCATAAAATACCTATTAAATTTCGATTTTTATCACTTGTGGTACTAATACCCATATGAATAAAACAGGTAAACTCTTTGCAAAATACTTAAACATTCTATTTAATTATTCATGATTCAGAATTTACGAGGATTATTAAAAATAAAAAACTCGTAATTAACTTTATTAATAATATTTCCATTACACATATTGAATCTTTTGATTTCAATGACCTTTTTACGAGTTTTCTACAGGACAAACTAAAGGATGGTGCTTTTTCGTAGCACCATCTTCAGAATCAATCCATGACACATTCAGGCAGGGAATATTAATTTTAAAATTGGACATGACTTGTATGTAGCAAAATTTGTGTCTATAAAGTACGTCAATAAAAATTTTACACAAAAATTACATTACTAAAAATTTCTGTTAATTTAATTCATAAAAATAAATAACATTAAAACAAATAAATAACAAACATGTATAAGAGAAAGAATTAACAGAACCAGATTAACTGTTAAAATAGTTAAAGCTTTCGTTTACAAGGAACCTAAACAGCAATTTTTATAAATCTAATGCTTCCTAAAGTAAATATTTCAAATAAAACAACAACAAAAAACTTAGCTTTTAAAAAAAAAATTAAGAAAAAAAAAAACAATTAATCACCTGATAAAGAACTCAATTGTTCGGAAAATATCTCGCCTAACTTTCTGCTGGTGTAATATTTCAGAGAAATGCTGAGCCTTCAAGAGTGTTAAAATAAAACATGACGAATATTCGTTTATTTGGGAACACCTGGGCTATGGACAAACAGAAAATATCATTTATCCACGCAATTCACAGCTCTGACTGAGAAAAAAGCATTACCTCATGGAACTGATGTATATTTGGTATTCATTTCTTGTTAAATATTACAATGGATAAAATTATTTAATTGCCATGTTCAATTGCTTTTGTCTAGTATCTGTGCCGTAGGCTAATAAGAAAATCCGGCATTTTCAAAAGTTTCCCTCATTTTGCAATTCACTAAGCTGATTAAGAAAATCTTCAGTATCTTCCGTCTGAAATTTTTAAGCTCATTGCAATCAACTAACATACCTTAAGGCTAATTATGAAGGGTGAAAAGAATAACTCTATCCGTCTAAGTTTGCTCACTTAATAGACCTACTTTAATAAGGCTAATTACAATACGCCTTCACTACTTTAGTATTATAGCAAACAACCTAAATTAATGGAGAAATGAATGATATATTTAATTATTAACCAAAAGGTACGTAGGCTCACTGCAATTAGCCTAAAAAGAGTCAGGTCTAATTAGAAAATATTGGAGATTTTTCTAATTAGCTTGACGCATTGCAAAAATGGCGGGAGTGTTTGCCAGATTATTTTACATCATTAGTTTACAGCATATCTCTGACGTTTATGTTTTTTCCCCTAGTCATAATTAAATCTAATTTATAAATTCAATATAAAATTTTGCGCCATTCCTTAATTACTATAATGCGTATACGAAAATTCAGTTAATCAAAACGTAAACGATATTTCGAAAAGAAATAGTCATTTTTGAATAAAATTGTTAATGCTAGTAAAAAAAGCCAACAAATCTTTTATTTATTTTTTTTAAATTGCAAAATAATTTACTGTCAAAACTAAAAATTATTCACTGAGAAAAAAAAAATCATTAACATAATCAATGTAATTTATAATAAAAATAAATCAAACTTAATAATATTAACATTCCGCTGTTATAACTATATTTTTGATTCAAACTATAACTATATTTTTGTAACTATAACTAACTATACTAACTTTTGTAACTATAACTAACTATACTAACTTTTGTAACTATAACAAACTATGTCTATATTATTGTAAAACTATATTTTTGATTCAAAAATGTGCCATTATTTTTAGGAAGAATAATATCGCCATTAAACAGTTATGCTTCAATGGGGATATTAACACATTTGAAATAAAAAATTTTAATAAATATATCCTAACACTTTCCGTAAAAGTATTTAATATGGAAAGCAATTTTGTTTGGCTTCAGCAGAACAAAAACAGCATTAAGTTACCATTTAAAACGTGGTACATTTCAATATTGACCATACATCTCAAAATCAGAACAAAATCATGAATTAGTATAGTGTTGTCAAAACTTACCAAATTACGAAGACGTAAATCGTTCACTAGCACATCCAGAAATGAAATTTTCTTGATGTAAGTTAAGATATGAACACCATTTATCTAATCATCCCTGAAGGTCACAAGTTCAAAATAATCCCAACGGGATTGAGTAAAGACATTAAGGTGCTTTTTCAAGATTTTCTTTATCCGCATTCTTTTTTTCATTCAAACTCAAAAGTTGTAGTTGAAACTATGCGCAGCATTGAAAGCACAGTTAAATAAATTTCGAGGAATTAAGACCGCTTTAATCAGATTTTGATATTAAAGCAAAGCACGAGAAAAGTCATTTTTATGTAATAATAGTTTCAGAATGACATACCAATAACTGGATATACTTTTTAGAAACTATGGTTACAACTTTAAAAAAAATATTTTTTTGAAAAATAAATAAATTTAATAAAAAATAAAAATGCATGCCAAAGCAGCAATGTTGATCATAAGAGTTAGTTAAGTAATTTTAAAAGCTAAAAAAGTAAATAATAGCAACAACAACAAAAAAACAGTATATCTAGATAATATCTCGGATTTATATAATAATTTAGTAAAGATTTTGAAAAAAGGTTTCTTCATAGAATAGAAGTTAAGAGTCATATTTTTCATCATATTTTTTATTTCCTATTCATTAAGCGTTCTTTTTTCCTATTAAAAAATAAATATCATTGTTTCTAACAGCTCCAAATTCTTAAAAATTTGCATTCGAACTGAAATCCGAAATTTAACGAATCACAACTACGGTTGAAATTTGAAACAACATCAAAAAGAGGAAAGTTAAACCTCATGATGACATGACAGATTTCCTTTAAAAGGTGCATTTCTGTAACTTTAAATAAACTTATCGAGAGAAGAAGAAAAAGTTTTGCTTCTTTCATTTGATCACAAAACATATTTTCGTACATTTTTTAACTGCACATGCTTCTTAACGACAAACAAGTTAAGCAACATAAGATTTAAAAAAAGTACTTAGCTGTATGCATCATGTACAGTTCCAAAGGCATTTTTAAATAATAGCTGGGATGTAAAAGAACATAATTCTTTTTAAAATATGATTTAGTTATGAGAAGAAATTATAATTTCTTTTCAATTCTTATTACCCTTGATTCTCGCTAAGTTATGATCGCCAAGCTGGGCGATGCTCAAACCCAATCGTGATTCTGATTGGTTTAGATTTTAGCGTTATTTTTAAATGTTCAGCGGTATTTCAGAGGTCCGTTAGTTCCAGTGTTGCCAGATTGGGCTACAAGTAGCGGATTGGGCTACTTTTAAAAGTCCCCGCTACTGAAAATTGAATTTTCGCTACTTGCTACTTTTTGGGCTACTTATTATTTTTCGAACGCTACAAATCTTAAATATGCGCTACTTTTTTTCCTTACTGAAATATATATATATTTTTTAATTTTTTCCCTTCCCATTATAAAATGATTCTGAAAGTTTGCAGCTTCTTTACCATTTTTAAAAAGGACATTTTTGTTGTTGTTGTTGAAA